TATACTCAGGCTTACTCACCATTCAATGTTCCAAGCCCTGTATATAGTATATACGTTTTGTTAGTAATAAGAACTACAGAAGTAGAAAGCAGGACATGAGACTGACACCCTGTAACATTATATATATATGTATAGCTCTGTATGTCTAGGGGAATATGCACTAAGCAATGCATATGTAAAATAATGTATTCTCCATCAGGGCCCTATTCCTATGGGAACTTACAATCTTTAACCCCTTAAGGACCAAACTTCTGGAATAAAAGGGAATCATGACATGTCACACATGTCATGTGTCCTTAAGGGGTTAAAAAGCAAAATATGTTTTTAAGTACGACTTGGAGACAACGTGTATATTTTCTTGTTTTTGGACTCTGACTGTAATGTCTTGCTCTCTCATACATGTTATGTATGCAAATACATCAAACAGGCAGATGTGATTGTCAAAGCCAAATATTTTTGACATTTGCTCTAACCTGAAGTCTACCAGTTTACTTCCCAGCGGGGACAACTCAGCAGTTGTTCTCTGACACAGATGTTGAGTAATGTTGTGTCATACAACAACAGCGATAGACACTTGGCAGTTAGAGAAACAGAACTTAATCTCTTCGATATTGATATGAATAAAAATAATGTAATGCAGTTTTGCATTCACGTCTCTGAGGACAACGTTGGTGCTGTGTAAATAATAACGGCGCTCTCTAACTGAAAATACGACCGACATCTACAGAAGAGAAAAGGGAAGAAGAGTCTTCAGCAGAGGTTTTAGTTGTCCGGGAAGTGATTTTTGTATTTAAAATCTTTAATTGAGTAATTTTATCATATTCCAAGCAATGTAAGCAGATAGGTCACATTTATCAGTAGATCAGAGATGTAGAAGAAAAGACAATATTTAGAACAAGCGAGCAATGCAGCGTTGTGCGGTCTAGAAAGCCAAGTCTAGTATGCAACATGTGAAGCGAAGAGAAGGGTAAGAGAGAGATGACACATTGTGTCTTGAGTATGAGGGAAAGGTTCAATGTCTCAACACAATTAGACAAAATGGAGGGAGTGGGTACAGAGTGTTTTCATGAGATAATGGCTCACCAAGCCTAATACATTTGATGTAACTTGCCTAATTTCTGAAAAAAAGTGCAGGTTAAACCTTTAAATTTGGCTCCACCTTTGTAGACCCAGATTTTGATTATTTGTATATTTAGGAAACATGTGATATTGCGTCAGCATAAGAAAAGACAGGAGCCCTTTTCACAGGATGACGGCTAGAGCAAGAGGTTATCACTTCAGTAACATAAAAAGGTGGAAAATGTAGAGACAAGAAGTGAAATACACTATTTCTGGGAAGGCAGGTTGATAAATGCAGAAATAGAAGGTGGCAGAGGCCGGGGTCATCAAGTACAAATGAATGCAGTTTTTGGTGCGTGAGTATGTGGGTGGTCTGACATACACAGAGCATACAATCTATGGAGTTGACCACAAATGACGTGTGTTCTGAATGAGAACTGACTGTGACTGTCTGTGACTTGTGCTCATCTCCATTGACATCATACATAGTAACCATAGCCTGGAAGCCAGGCCAAACCAGATGCTACAGTGTATGGTGAAACATCCCAGTGGGCTATGCCAGGTGAAGCAAACAGAGAGGTTGCAGGCCACAAAACCATGCAATGCTGGGCTAGCAAAGACCTTAATCATATCCTGTGTGCAGCCTCACTGCTCCCCATAAGCATTGCTACAGGGGAATCAACTGCCCCCTCACTACATTATACCAGCCTCCACATGTGTGCCCCCCCACTGAACTTGGAGCCCCACAGTGGGTAAGTGGCTGTACTGACAATCTTTGGGTCTATCTGGGTGACTAGGCCACCCAAGCAGACCCAGTGATGCACAGTAAAAGTGCCACTGATACTACCCTGTGCTGTAGTCTGCTGCCTGAGTGAATAAATGAAAAATCTGTACACTTTTCATGACTCACCATTTAGTGAATAAATTAATTAATGTTCACGCACTATGGATGATTAAATTCTAAAACTTTAGCTACTGTAAACTTCAATTCCCCCATAATGCTAGTCCAGTAACAATGTGTCTTTTCTAAAGGTCATTAAAGGTCAAACAATGTGGCATGATATGGGCATAATAAAATGGAGACAAACTCCTTGGATGGAATACCTGGCTCTTAGGGACGAGAGGAGGCTGGTTTGAGGAGCTGGGGGGACATCTGGTGGACATGCGGGCTTCAGGCCTTGGGCAGCGGGTGTGGCATCGCTGAGATGAAGGCTGCACGCAGAATAGAGGCGGTCCCTGTCTGGGCCTATACCCCCCTTTTTTCTCCCCCCCCCTGTCTACTTCTCCTCTCTCCCAACTCTTCTTCACTTTGCCTCTCCTGCTTACGTCCCGTCCCTCCCCACCTCGTCGGAGCAGCTCAGATCTCAAGCTGGTTTTAGCTCATCTTGTGCCATTGCAGAGAACATATTTGAAGCATATCAGACTGGTCCCACCCGTACGCGCAGTCCAGATCCGAAATGCCATCAAGTTCCCTCTGCACAAGCTTGCTGGCAACCCCAGACGATCATTTCAACCTTGTTAGGCATCATCAGTGAGGCATAGCTGATATCTCTCTAGGCACCGTGAGCAAGGGGTCCACGTCTGGATTACCCTTTCAAATTGTGGAGAGCAAAAAACAAGTCGCAAGAGTGCACTGAGGACGGACAGCAGCTGAAATAGCCTGCCCTTCGGTGCCCTTCCCCACTCAGAACTCAAGCTGGTTTTAGCTCATCTTGTGCCATTACAGAGAGAACATATCTGAAGCACATCAGACTGGTCCCACCCATACGGGCAGTCCAGATCTGAAATGCCAACACGTTTCCTCTGCACAAGAGATACAGCAACCCCAGACGATCGTTTCAACCTTGTTAGGCATCATCAGTGAGGTATAGCCTATATCCCTCTAGGCACCATGAGCAAGGGGTCCACGTCTGGATTGCTCTTTAAAAAACTGAGAACTGAGCGAGGACCCCCCGAAGGGCAGGCCAATTGAATTGTTGTCAGTTCTCACCTCTCTTGCTACTTGCTTTTCTTTCCTTAAATTTAAAGGGTAATCCAGACGTGAGCACCTTGCTCACGGTGCCTAGAGAGATATTGGTTATACCTGACTGATGATGCCTAACAAGGTTGAAATGATTGTTAGGAGTTGATGTGTCTCTCGTGCAGAGAGAGCAGGCCTGTATTTTGGATCTTTTCTGCCCTTTTGGGTGAGATACATGGCCTGGTTCTCTCTGTAATGGCACAAGATGAGCGAAAACCAGCTTGAGAACTGAGTGGGGACCCGCCGAAGGGCAGGCTAATTGAGCTGTTGTCCGTTCTCAGCACTCTCTTGCGACTTGTTTTTTGCTCAAGCTAAAATATATGTAAGCAATGTGAAATTTAAGGAATGTGGCAAGGCGGCAATGTGGCATGATGTAGTAAAATGTAGGCAAACTAAAATAAATGCGGACAATGTGTTTCCATAGTGGTTATTCAAAGAGCGCTGGTGTTTGCTGAACTTGGAAGCAATGGCAAAAATTGCTCTTGTTTGACTATAAATAGAACAATTACAGGCCCTGCTCAAACGAGCTTACAGTCTATAGGAGGTGGGGTATAAAACACATTAGGACAGGGAATAGAAGTCAAATTAGGTGGGAGTGGAGCAGAGCTGGAGGAGAGAGTAGAGTGCTGCCCTTTAGGAGGGAGCAAGAGACAGGTATGTGAGGTAGAGGTTAGTCTGGGAGGCCACAGGCTTTCCTAAAGAAATGAGTTTTAAGGCACTTCTTAAATGATAGAAGACTAGGAAAGAGTCTGATGGTGGTAGGCAGGCTATTCCATGGGACGGGTGCCGCCCGCGAAAAGTCCTGCAAGCTTGAGTTGGCCGTACGGGTATGAGCAGCGGACAGAAGAAGGTCACAAGCAGAGCGGAGAGACCGAGAAGGAGCATACCTATGGATCTGTGAGGAGATGTAAGAGAGGCTAAGATTATTCAGTGCTTTATAGGTATGGGTGAGGTGTGAGAGGACCGACTAGAGAGGAAAATCAGTCTGGTGGCAGCATTCATTACAGAATGTAGCGGGGCAATACGGCTATTGAGAAGACCAATTAGGAGAGCATTACAATAGTCCATGCGAGAGATTGGACAAGCTCTTTAGTAGCATCTTGTGTAAGAAAGGGGCGAGTTGCCACTGTTCCTCCAAACTCATCTCTCGCTGTTTTAGCCCACAAAATAAATAATGGCGTGAGGATGCAACCCACAACCCATGTATACTAGGTGCCATACCCCCTTGCCAGCCTTGCCATGAGCAGAGTGATAGAGAGCTGTAGAATGTATTACTGTGAAGAACTGATATACATAGTATACTTGATCTATCTATTAACCAGTCTGTCTTTCTGTCTATATAGCACATACACAGAGCAAACTCGGCTTCTATACACCTGGAAAATCATATATTTTATTAAATGCTCATTTTGTGTATTTTAAAAACCTTTCTGATTTGTTTTATGTCTGCTTGGGTACAATGTGTACAATAGATGTCATGTAAACAATAGCTGAAATGTCTGCTATGATTTATTAGAAAAACTCAACTGTTAAGTTACTGGGTTATTTCAAAATTGATGAATAATATTTTAATTGTAGGCTGAAAAAGCTTAACTGGAAAAATTCTCAAACTCTGATATTAGCTACTCTGACTTTAAAATAGCTTTTCTCTTTTAAATTTTCCGCAATTCCTTGGTTTAGTCAATAAACACAATAGATACATTTTCATAAAACTGGTTAACTGTGCAGGGCTGCAGAATATATTGGCACTATATCAATGCTACGATTAGTAAAGGTTATAAGTGTTTTTTTAGGTGACAGTTCTAATTGTCACAAAATATACAACTACCCTTACAGCATGCAGAAACGTAGTTTAAATGTCAGAAAGAAAAAATAAATAAATATTACAACAACAAAATAATTCACAGGTCACAAGGAGACACTCACTAAAACAGACAAATATTTAATTGTTTATTTACTTCCAAAAATATGACAATTTAAATATTGAATGTAAACATACACACCTCATGTACATCACACGGACACCACACATGATGTTATAGACCCTGTTATTATGTAATTGTACACAGAACTTTAAATGCCCCCTGGCGTATTTGTTTGATACGGTCTTATGGCCATGTAGCGTGTTGTAACAAGTCTTAAGACAATATACTTTGTTAGGTGATTTGGAATCCCATCCAACGAGTTTGATCTGAAGAATAGCTTGTCACTTGGCTAAAGATACAATGTTATCTGTCTTCCATGGCTGTACGGACCAGTTTCCAATAGTACAGTGCAAGGGAATGACAATAATTGTGGGAGTTAACTCACTAAATTATGAGTTGTATAGACTTCACCACTGTGGTCTAAAATTCAAGCAAAATATCAAAGCTGGAAAAAAGAAAGATTAAATTTAGTGTTCCTTGAGCCACTTCTAAAACGAATAGCTTTCTTTATAGGGTTATTCACTGAAGGGTAAATTCTTGTGAATTTCAAATGTTTGTCCAAAATAGCCAAACTTGAAAAACGTTTTGGTTTTTAGCCTTACTATTTTGGCGTAAAATTTTCAATACACTTCGATGTTCAGACAATTCACACTGTAGTGAATAAATATTGTAAAACTGCACATTTAACATTTCGTGAATAAATTCACTAATGTTCATGTACTATGGATTAAATTCTAAAACTTTAGCAACTGTAAACTTCAATTCCTCCACAATGCTAGTCCAGTATTGATGCGTCTTCTCATGATGTGTCATTAATGGTCAACCACTCTCAAACAACCATAATTCCATCTTTACATTGTTCTGATGGAAGTATGTCAAACACAGCTCTCACCATAGGGCGAAAATATGGAAATCAGAACAATGCGAACTAATGGCACACAGGACTTGATTACCAATGGACAAGGAAGGCAGCTGCTTATAGGCGCCTGTCAAAAAGAAGCGCCTACGCTGAATGTATGTGTTGAAGCTTTTTATATTGTCACAAGCTTGATACCAAGAGCGGATGAGCAGTAACTTGAAGGTGGTGGGAAATTGCGTGCCTTGATAATACTTGACTCCATTGCAGTCCCCCAGGGTGAGAAATTTGGCTCCTTGATAGTACTTGACTTCCTTACCAACTCTTGTTGCTGTCATAGTCCTTGATCGTTCGACACACTTGGATATGTGTGTGCTGTGATGTCATTAAAAGTAAAATTTTATACCGTGCATTTTTTGAGTCTTGAGTTGGGAACATCTAAGTTGTAATTCCATTGTTTTGGATAAACACTCAAAATACAGTGTATGTTACTTGTAGAGGGCTGTGTGAGCTGGACCTAGGAGACGTCCCAGGGTCCATTTGCAACATGCGTAGTCCAGAAGATTTCCCAGAAACACCGCCAGAGGATTTCTGTAGCCAATGACTGTGCATCATGGAACAGCTTATATTTGAATGTGAATTCTACCGAAAATAGGAAATGTCCACAATCGCTGATAAACTACAGATTTTTCCCCTTCTTTTCACAAAAATGTCTTTCACATACTAAATGTTCAAATCGGTTTTCTCAGTGCATATAGATAAAACAGATCTCCTACCAAACGGTGAATTAAATTAATAGTCTTTATTTATGAACCTTTAATTTATGTTTACACTTGGATCTTGAGGTAGACTCCAGAAAAATAGGTCCTTCATTTATTCTGAAATTATTCTCAATTCAATCTCTTCTTCTATTAGAAACAGAAAGAAACAGTAAACAGCTAAAAAATATATAATTTGTTCTTTTCATCACACTTTTCTGAGTATAAACAAAGATAATTCCCACCAGTTTGGGACTGTGACCTTAGAGACATATAAAGTGCGATAGTAATGTGTATTGATGGCCGGCCAGTCTCGGAAATACCATTAGCATTGATCTAAGCCTTTATTAATGCTTGTGTGTCATCAGTGACTCTACCATTTACTTTACACGAATATTTGATACGTTGATAGCTGATAATATACGTGATACCAGACAACGATATGAGCAAAAAACCAAAACAACATAACAAACATGTTCTATTTACAACTCGCAGGTATTATTTTATTATGTCACAAATCTAATGTATTTATGTATTTTTTTTGCTACATACTAAGCCACTATTACTACATGCTAAGGCACTATCACTATAGGCTAAGCCATTATCACTAGATGCTAAGCCAATATCACTACATTCTAAGCCACTATCACTACATACTAAGTCACTATAACTACACACTAAGTTAGTATCGCTATATACTAAGTCACCATTACTACATACTAAGTCACTATCACTACATACTAAGCCACTATGACTACATGCTAGGTTAATATTTCTACATGCTAAGTCACTATCACTACATGCTAAGTGAATATTACTATAGGCTAAACTATTATCACTACATACTAAGTCGCTATCTTTACTTACTAAGTCGCTATCACTACATACTAAGCCACTATCACTACATGCTAGGTTAATATTTCTACATGCTAAGTCACTATCACTACATGCTAAGTGAATATTACTATAGGCTAAACTATTATCACTACATACTAAGTCGCTATCTTTACTTACTAAGTCACTATCACTACATACTAAGTCGCTATCTTTACTTACTAAGTCGCTATCACTACATACTAAGTCGCTATCTTTACTTACTAAGTTGCTATCACTACATACTAAGTCACTATCTTTACTTACTAAGTCACTACCACTTGTGCCATGTCACTATGAGCCTAATAAGAGGTACAATATTAATGCTGTTGTCAACTTCAAGAATTGAATTGATTCCTGCAACATACAGCCTTTACATGCAGCTTTTAATGAATGCTTCATTGATCAATTTCTGTTTTCTATTTTTTTCTTTATTGAAAATGCCAATGAAATTGCAGATACTGTGCATATAAGAAAAATATCTATATCAATGCGTGTTACACATGAAATAACCACGTCAAATCAATATACTTGGTTTTAGACAATTAAACAAGACGATGAAAAAGATCAAAACATAGAGGCATTAAACCATGCAACTCACAAAGTCACATTGCACAGAAAATGTCAAGTATTAAAGGGAGCCCAGGCTCTTAAATGAAGCTGCAAAAATGTTTAGCATTTGGAGTCACATTGATTTAGGGATACCTTCCGCTTCAAAGGAAGCATAACCTCTTTAACAATTAAAGACAATTAATATTCTATATATTGAGATTTTTACATCCATCAAAATAGAGTATGACACTTCTTTTTTAATCTAGAGGGACCCACACATACAATAACGTTATACTAGGACACGTTTTTAACATCCACTTTTGTTATACAAGATGGTCTCCTACTTAAGTGATGTAATGTTGAGACTGACAAATAACTATTGTCAAGGCTTATTTTTGTTTGTTTGTTCAACCAATACTTCACCATAGCCTTTTTTGACGAAGAGATTGAGTCTATAAATTCAAGGATTTTACAATTATCATGACGGAAAGTCATAATTTTATTAAAGACACGGAGGCGAGTATTATGCTCCACTCTTTCTTTAATTCCCTCAGCATCAAAGAAACATTATTTGAAAAAGATAACATTTGAACAGGTATAAACATCATAATGATAATGTCCGCCTAGCAACATGACCCTCCAATCAGTGACATCGTTCCCATATAGTAGGCGGAGCATTGATGACCATTTCCTCTTTCTTGCGAATCCCAAAGAATAAATCAACTCCGAACAAGGAATGGACAAACAAACGAACTGGAACTATGAATTTGCTTCAGAGACTTATTTCAACCAAGTCACGCTAAAAGAAACAAGAAAATATGGTAATGTCCAGAAATCGAGGTTTGCCAGCATATATAGAGGACTGATCATCTGATTAAACATTGATAATAATTCATAAATGTAGTATGATGAAACTACCAGCCTGAAGATAACAGTGACAAATAAAGTCCATCATTAAATAATGCCCTAGAGCAATGTAGGAATGTGATGGCATCAGTAGTGGCAAATTGAACTTACCATGGGGAGGTCTGTAACTTACCTTAACTCATATCCAAGCCATCCAAGGGCGGGTGGGTGGGATAATACTAGCCTCCGTGTCTTTAATAAAATCATGACTTTCCGTCATGATAATAGTAAAATCCTTGAATTTTATTAAAGACCCGGAGGCTCCTTTTATGCTATTTCAAAGCGGTGATATCACGGCTTTTGCGAAATGCTGGATTGGTTTGAAATAGAAGTTACGGAAAGTAGATTCCGTGGACCAATCGGCTGCTTTCAAAATATCCTCCAAACGACAACCAACAAAGGAAGCTTTGGAGGCCATGGCACCGCGAACTGAATGAGGAGAAAATATAGAGGCATCAATGCCTGCCAAGGACATGAGCCACTTGACCCAGCAGGCCAGGGTGGGAGAGGATACCGGAGCATGCGGTTTGCGAAAGGAGATAAAGAGCTGGGGTTCCGAACCAGTCCAGAGGGGCGCGGTACGAGCTTCGTACACCCTGAGACGCGCTACCGGGCAGAGGAGCGGCTTTGTGGGGAAAGCCGGATATCGGACCGACCAGGAGGATGATTTTGTCCTCCGTGAGATGTAAAAAATGACTCCGTCTGGGGAGAAGGAGTGGGCATTGAAATCGAGTGCTCTAACGTCTGATACTCTTTTACATGAGATTAGGCACAATAGCATGACCAGTTTAGCCGAGAGTTGTTTCAGGGATAAAGCCTCGTTGTCTGGCCACATAGTCAGGAAATTCAATACCAGGGAGATGTCCCATAGGGATGAATAACAAGATAAAGGTGGCCTTGCGAAGCTGATGCTGCGGAGGAGGCGACAGACACCCGGTAGGGTGTTGTCCTACCGGGGTACCATCAATGCCGGTGTGGCCGGCTGAAATCGCTGAGTGGTAGAGGTTTACCATCCGATAAGCTTTCCCATTCTCACAGAGGGAAGTTAAGAATTGGAGGACTGTTGTCACAGGAGTTGATAGGGGATCCACACCTCTTGCCACGCACCAATCATCCCATGTGCGCCAAGCAGACTTGCAAGACTGTCTCATGCCGGGGGCCCATGCGCCCTCGAGAAGTTGGAGAGTCGATTGCGAAAGTCCCTCGATTGCCCAGGGTCCCCGGAAATTAGCAATGCAGTGAGGTGAAGGAGATCCTGAAGGATCAGGGGGTGGGGGGCCCCGTCGGGGTACCGCAGGAGGGAGTGGGAGTCTTGGGTGATCTATAGCCATGTCTAGTTACGGAGGGAACCAGGGTTGTGACAGCCAGAGGGAGGTTTTTATCACTAGGCAGCCCAAGTGGCGCCGCAGGTGAAGCAGGCAACGAGGGATAAGGACGAATGGAGGGAATGCATAGTTCCTGGTGGTGGACCAGTCTTGGGAGAATGCATTCATAGCCAAAGCTTTCGGGTCTGGCCTCCAACTGAAAAAGTTCGGAAGTTGGGTATTCAAGTGAGAGGCAAACAAGTCTATTGCTAGAGGACCCCATAAGTCCCAGAGGTACTGGAAGGTATGGGGATCGAGGTGCCAGTCGCTGGAATCCTGCAGATGGTGGGAATACCAATCCGCTGTAGTGTTGGATAACCCTGGTAGATATTCTGCTTTGACAGCAATGTTGTGTTGAAGGCAAAATTGCCAGAAGTCTCGAGCCAGATTTGCTAGGACTTTGGACCTCGTGCCTCCCAGATGCTTTATATAACGGACAGCCGAGATGTTGTCCGTCTTCAACAGAATTGAGCACTGGGATAGGGTTGGGGATAGGCTCGCGACCCCGCCAGGAGTTCTAAGCAATTTATATGTAAGGTGGACTCTAATTCCGAGCATCGCCCGCCTGCGGAGACATCTCCGCAACGAGCTCCCCACCCATAAGAGCTCGCGTCTGACTCTATGACTACATCTGGAGCCGAACCGAAAATGGCTTTGCCATTCCACGCCTCCATGTGTACGAGCCACCAGTGGAGTTCTTCCTTTGCTTCTGCATCTAGTGTCAGAGAATCCTCGTTTGAGGCGCCGCTCCTGAGGTATGTTGCCTGTAGGCGTTGGAGGGCTCTGTAGTGAAGGGGGCCTGGAAATATGGCCTGTATAGAGGCAGCCAGGAGCCAGATGACACGGGCCAGGTGCTTGAGAGATAGTTGAGGGGAGGCCAGAACACGCCTTATCTCTTTTTTGATACTCCTCATTTTGGAGGTAGGTAAAAATAGGGTTTGCATCACCGAATCCACTAGGAGGCCTAGGAACTATATTTGCTGAGTGGGAACTAGTATGGATTTTTCCAGTTGATAATGAATCTCAGGTTCTGTAGTAAGGTACTGAGTATGCAGTAGGGGCACCAATTGGGATAGCAGTAGGATGTCGTCTAAGTAAATGATTAGACGAATCCCCCGACTGCGCAGAAGCGCAATAACTGGTTTCATGAGCTTGGTGAAGTACCAAGGCGCAGAAGAGAAACCGAAGGGAAGGCAGCGGAACCGCCATTTCCTTCCTTGTCATGTGAATTGCAGGAAATCCTGATAAGCGTCTCAGATCGAGTTTTACCATCCAGTCTGATGGTTGGAGCAAATCCCGTAGGCAATGAATGCCTTCCATTTTGAAATGGTGGTAGCTTACTTTTGCTCACAAAACCCGGGGTATGCATCGGGATTTCTAGAATAGCCCCTTTGAGTGCCAACTCTTGGATTTCCTCAGAGACAAGGATTGTGTCTGACCGGGAAAAAACAAACAATCTGGATGGGTAGAAACACAAAGTCTATGAGATATCGTTGGACTGCCCTGAGTATCTAGGCATCTGAAGTAATGAGAGCCCAGATATGGGAAAAATGTGTGAGTCTGCCCCCTGTTGCTTTAGGTGAAGAAAAAACGAGGTAGGTAGCTTACCGTAAGGACGTCTTCCAGAAGGAGCGCCTCGTGATCCTCTCGACACCCATGGTCTGCCTCTTTGGGGAAAGAAGGTCGGGGCGGACCTCTGTTCTGGAAAGGGGGGTCTCTCCATGTAGGAGCCTCGGTTCGGGAGTGAACCTCTATTAAATCTGCCGGACAGATGGCCCCAGGAAAAACCTTTGGGTGAAACACCCTTTTAATATTTAATTGCGCCTTGTCCAAGGCAGTAAAAGTTTGGACGTATGTGCCTCTTTAACAAATGAATCTCCAAACAGTAGACCTTTGGCTTGAGGGCCTGGTTCTGTAATTGCCATGTTAATGAGCTTGGGTTCTATTTTTAATAGGATTGATTTACGGCGCTCTGTGGCAAGAGCGGTATTAGCACTGCCAATTAGGCATATTATTCTTTGGATCCAACCCCTAATTGTGAACCGATCTAGGACCTCATCCTTGGCCAAGGATTCTTCTACAGCTTCAAATATTTTGGTTGCTGGGCCTAGAATATCTAGAACCTTATCTTGGCAGTTATATAATGAGAAGTCTAAGCCTTTTTTAGGCTTCCATCCAGTTTTGCTTAGGAACTGGATAATTTGGGGATCAACTTGGGTGGTCTTACAAACCTCGTCAGGTACAGTGGGGCGTGGGCATTCCGCCCTTAATTTGTTTCGGGCCGCTTTATCTAGGGGCTTGCGGACCCGGGATGCGACATATTGCGCCACATGTTCAGCCGATGACCATTCCGCTGAGCAGGGGTGACGTAAGTCATTAGGTTCAAATAAGGGTTCGCCCTGTGGGTCGAGTATTTTGCCCTCTTTAATTAGATCAGATTTAGACGTGTCTGTGGTTTGCAAGTCAGTAGAGGCTTTTGAATCCTCACCAAATTCGTAGTCTGAATCTAAATCAGATAAATCATTTGAGTGGTCTGAGTTCAGTGAAAATGCACTCTCCTCATCTGAACTGAGTTCAGACTCAGTGTAATCTTGCTGGGCTTTTGCCCATTTCCAATACCTAGCCACTTTTGCCCGGCTAGAGGCTCTCTTGCGCGGTGGATCATTATGTGCGCCATCAGTGACAGGTTTAGAACTGTCCATCATTTTTTTGGATGAGTGCTTTACTTTGGCCGAGGCCTTGCGGCCGGGGTGTGTAGGATGAGAGACCGTGGGTATCGCGGCTGGTATAGCTGCCGGAGGGACCGCAGATTGGGCTTGTAAAATCGCTTGTGAGAATGATTTTGAGATAGATGAGGACATAATGTCCATAGCAGATGCCAGGGCTTTTGACACAGTAGTGTCCATTATTGCCTGAATTTCTTCAGAAGCTGGGAATTCAGCCTCATCCCCAGAAATCATATGAGGTAAAACCAGGAAAGCTTGGGGTTTAGATTGTACCCCAGATGGCCCAGGCAAATTATTGGATGACTGCATATTGTTTTTAGAAAATAGTACTAATGGTAAAGCCAAGTATTATAGTTAAACCAGGTATTTTATTGATAAGAAATCAGAGGAACTGGATTAAGTAACCCAGATAAATTGACTATAGCCAAATAGAAATAAATATTGTAACAATGCCAACTACTCACAGCTACAAGGGGGAGAGCAAAGCACAGAGAACCGCCTGCCACTAATTCTGGACACCCACTCCGACCAGAGGGCGGAGTGGGCGTGTCAGAGTAAAAAAGGCGGGAAGGGCCTTGCAGAAAATGGCCGCCGCGAAAACGGGCACCAAACAGATGCTCATCGCGGTTAAAAATGGATCGCTAATGTGAAGCGAGGTGGCCGCAGTGGTGACATGACTAACGATCATGTCAGAGATAATGATTGAATGCGCAATCTGAATTTTTGTCCCACCGCACAACCAACTGGTTCGCAAAATGACCGCTGGGGGTCTCTGACGAGACGCGCATGCGCGGCTGAGTGGGAGTCCAACCGCCCGCGAAAACCATCGTTTGGTGCAATAATGGGTGAAAGCAGATAATGTGCAGTAGCACAGGGAAGGACAATGTATTGGGTGTATATATGTACAATATGTATGTGGAATTGCAGGGAATCCAGTGTAATATAAAATAAGCAAACACAAAAATAAGTTTAAAATTTAAAGGTACCACTAAAAATAAGAATGAGCATTTAAAGGTACAGTAAGATAAAAACATTAAATGTAACAGAAAACAAATAGTATATGAAACAATCACAGGAGAATTGTGAGAGGTGTACTTAACTGAGGGAAGCAGCAAAGAAAGAGGAAATGGTAATCGATGTTCCGCCTACTATAGGAGAAGGATGTCACTGATTGGAGGGTCATGTTGCTAGGCGGACATTATCATTATGATGTTTATACCTGTTCAGATGTTATCTTTTTCAAATAATGTTTCTTTGCTGCTGAGGGAATTAAAGAAAGAGTGGAGCATAATACTCGCCTCCGTGTCTTTAATAAAATCTTGATCACACTAATTATTATGTATCATTTTCATAGTCTTTAGGTCCATACGGAGTGCATTTTATTCAGCCTACAGTGTTACATTAAGCAATACACCTTATGTTTTTTTTTTTTTGTTAGAAAATAGAATGTTACCTTGAAAATCTATTTTCTGTATTATGCTGCATGTACCAACTGGAACGTCCTCTGTGTTGTTTCTATTTCAATGCTAATGTAATTGCTTTTCTGCCTGACAGTCTGAATAAAAATGTATTTAACAAAATGTTTAGGATAACAAATCTGCATCTTATATCATCAGTGTGTTTTATTGGCTGAAAGAAACATAACATTTATTTTGTTGTGCACTGAATGTCATGTCAATAGAACTCAATAGTGAACCTTTGCAATATTTAAACCAACAGGGTAAAAGCCATTCGGATATAAAAAAAACTCCACCGAGTACCACCGAGTAGCATTGATCTTGCTAAGAGTTTCAGCTGTTAAAAGGTCACAACACTTCTAAACAATCCATTATACCTCCAGCAATACCTTGAGTACGACCCAAGCCCCTGATGTTACCAAATTGTGTTCTTGTGTATTTGTGAAGAAATATTGAATTGTTGGTAGTTACTGAAAGCTGGTTTAAGGAACACCAGACTATTTTAACCTTAAAAAAGAGGATAATTCAAGGTCCATAATCACTACAGGCCAATGTAGCGACTGAAGAGAAATTTGGCTTCTCGATGTTGCTGACTTAGAGCGGGAATTTAGGTTAGTCGGCAAACCATGCCAAAAACAGTTTTACATCTTACTGTTGGATGACACCAGGGCACTCTTGACACTATAACCACTAGACGGGCTCAAGTAATTATTAAGCTTGACATGTTTCTTAACTGTACTCACTTTGAAATCACTTAAACTTGGTATGTTTGGGATTGGTGAGTAAACAGCATGTTTGCAATAAAACCCTGAAAGTTAAATAAAAGATAAATACTTCTACCTCTTCGACTTTGCTTCCTCTTCTGAACAACAGTTATACATTTATTGCAAAGCCACATGAGGCAGATCAAAACGGCGGCGCCTGCCGCCAGGAAGGCGATAAATACTGCTACAAAATAGAAATCTTCATAGAGGATCTCTGCGGAAAGAATGGATACACATTGTGATTCCACTTTGCAGTTGGAAATGAGGGATGGGAAACAATGAATTTGGAATACGTACCATGAACACTGAGAAAGATGGTGCCGTGCTTAGTGTTCCCATAATCCTCGGTGACAGTGACCACGTAATACCCAGTGTCTTTCACTCCGACATCCTCCAGCAGGATAGAGCCATTATCATACACCTTAACTCTGCCAGCATAACCTTTTGAGATATTAAAATAGAACCCCGTCCTCCAATCTATAATGCGTTCACTCCGCCAGTTTGATGTATGCTGCCATTCTATCGATGGTGTCCCATTACATATGTATTGCACCGATAATAAGACATTGTGTGACACTGTAGCATTGACCAGTGGTTCCGGTACAAACAGTATAATTCCTTCATCTGAAACAGACAATTTCCATGTTAAGTGATGGAAAATTGCTTTTTATATGTAAATACAACATCCAACGCTAAATGCTTTAATTAGCTAGTTACACAATATTGTCTATTTCTCTGACTTGTCACATGTTTAGGTTTGTTTAATGTCTGGTAAGAGGTACTGATATAAATAGAAAAAAAAAATATGAGTGTCTTGGTACAATGTGTCAATGGAAAAACAGTAATTTTGCTTCCTGGAGCAGAACGCTAAATCCAGCTCTTTCCATCAACTATAAACTCCAGTCAACATCGTAAAAATTAAGGCCTCAATTTAATATTTTTGGATAAAGTTTAAAAACAATTTATATTCTGAAAAATATTTTAATATTATTCTATTTGTTTATATATTGATATATTATTTCATATGTTATATATCTGTTGCTTTTTTACTATTTTTGAAAAACAATTTTTTTATCCAAATATAAATATAAATAAAAATACAGGATTAAGTGAGCGGACCCAAATTCTCATACAATGCTCAGCAGATATAGCAAACACTTATATAGAAAATATCAAATCTCCCTTGGCAATCTATCCTTACCTTCAAATGCATCAATGGATTTTATACTCTTTCTTCAGAATAAGTTAGTGTAATTATGGCCACAATTTAATATTTTATATACGTATTTTTTATACGCTTTTTAAATGATTTAAAATTTTAGTATAAAAGTTACAAATTATTTTTCTACAGAAGTTAAAGCATGTTTGTACTGGACTGCTTGTTTGAGAAAGCCCCAGGAGGAGGGGCGAAACACGCCACGGGCAATGTTGGAAGCTTGTACACCGGCGAGACCAGCCATGATCTGAAGGAGAAGGACGGCGGCTATATCCTACCAGGGGGTTGGTGAGCAGACGGTGGGCTTATTTTGCTGCTATATGTGTTTCTAAGGCTTATAATAAAGGAGTTGTTTTACCTGTTACCCGAGTCACCAGAGCATCTGTTAGATCCCACGTACTCTAGGGACTGATCCTCCCTTGGCGTTATTACCAGTGGCGCTATTACCACTCTCAACTTGTGAGTTCAATACCTACAGAGGGTTTTTACATATTTGTTTTATCTTTCTAACTTTATTGCACTAGGAGTGCTTCTTGTGTTTCTTTTTGTCTCCAATTTGCAGATACCACCAGTGTATAATTACGGAATTGCAAGTATACATACATGTGTCGTACTGTGGGTTAACATTATTTTCACTAGTATTTCGCTTTCCAAATGATTTAATATTATTGGATAAAGTTTTAAAATTATTTAATATTATGAAAAACATTTTAATAAATTTATTTACAAATCAGCAGTTTACCTAAAGTTCACAATTGCGTTAAATTTACTACAATTTAATTTTTGTTTTTTTAAATATTAAAAATATATCATGTGGGCGGAGCTACCACGCAACCTATGCAGAATTGCTTAGTGTTCCTACTCCTACCTTTAAACGGAGCCCAAGTCTATACCCGCTCCATACCATCGCTGTGCACTCTGGTTAACACCCTGCCACTTTTCCATCCCAAGGTTGCTAGTACTTTTGTTCCTGCAAAGAAAATACTCCTCGCCACCCCGCTCCCCACCATTACCCTCCAAGTTAGGGGTATAAATTATACGCAGCCGGGAGGAGTCACACTTTTTGGATTCATAGCTTTATAACGGTTTAGATACAGACCTGTATACTGCAGAGTTGACTAACTTACGCAACTGTTATACATGTTTTTCTCATTCACCTTGAGAACACGTAACTGTCAACTTGTTCTTAGTTAAAATAACGATGCTCTTACAATAATCCTTATAGTAGCTTACCAGCACTGAATACACAGCTTGATATACTATAACTTTGTAATTATAATATGTGCATCGATGCAGACATGTATTGTTCTTTGTGGCTATTATTTACTGTTACACTTTGCAATGTCTTGGTGTCTCTGAGTAACGACAATGCACTACAAAAATAAAGAATTATATAAAAATATATCATATATAAAAATATCAATATTTTAAAAACTATCAAAATATGAATTTTTTAAAATATTTTAATAACATTGCGTAATTTTTAAAGCTTATTCAAAATATTAAAGGGACACTATAGTTACCAGAACCACTACAGCTTAATGTAGTTGTTCTGGTGTCTATAGCCTGTCCCCGCAGGCTTTTTAAAAATATTTTAATAACATTGCGTAATTTTTAAAGCTTATTCAAAATATTAAAGGGACACTATAGTTACCAGAACCACTACAGCTTAATGTAGTTGTTCTGGTGTCTATAGCCTGTCCCCGCAGGCTTTTTAAAAATATTTTAATAACATTGCGTAATTTTTAAAGCTTATTCAAAATATTAAAGGGACACTATAGTTACCAGAACCACTACAGCTTAATGTAGTTGTTCTGGTGTCTATAGCCTGTCCCCGCAGGCTTTTTAATGTAAATGCTGCCTTTACAGAGAAAAGTCAGTGTTTACATTGTTGCCAAGTATCACCTCTTGTGGCAGTCACTCAGGGGTGCTTCCTAGCCCAGTGCTGAACATTGTGCATTCAGCATCTCCACACTCTGAAAGTTCCCCATAGAGATGCATTGATTCAATGCACCTCTATGAGGAGATGCTGATTGGCGCAGCACTGCATTTTGGAGCACACGCATAATAGCCTCACAATGCTTTCCTTTGGGAAAGCATTGGATAGGCTGAGATCGTCAAGACTTATGATCTCAGCCATGGAGGTGGGACCATGACAGTTTCTCTTTCACCAAACTATAAAGCATAGTGGCCAACTGTTCAGAGTTTTTCATCATAGTCCCATGCATTGGGCTCCTGTATCAGCAAAAACGAGTTCAAGTATTTGTCACGCATTCCAGTATCGGAACTCATGTAGCCATTCCAGTTTGTCACTGTATGTACTTGGTGTGTGTCATTGGGGTTTTCTGTGTGCGTCAGTTTGTCACTGAGTGTATTGGGTGTGTGTCATTGTATTCACCTGTGTGTGTCAGTTTGTCACTGTATGTAATGAGTATATATCACTGTGTTTGTTTGTGTGTCAGTTTGTCACTGCATGTACTGGGTTGGGTGTGTTATTGTGTTTATCTGTGTGTCAGTTTGTCACTGTATGTACTTGGTGTGTGCTATGGTGTTTGTCTATGTGTGTGTTTGTGTGTCTATGTGTGTGTTTGTGTGTCAATTTATCACTGTATGTACTGGGCGTGTGCCATGGTGTATATGTGTATCTGTGTACATTTGTATGCTTGTTTGCACAAATTGTCCCTGGATTTTTTTTCAAATGTTGGCAACTATGCGAGCGGCATGATAGAACAAAATATTATTGACTAGTAGGTGGACAGTCATTTCTTCCTACTCTTTCTGTGTCACATGCTGGCATTGCTAATGATTTTCTCTTGTAAGTAGTTACATACTCAGTTTGTTTCATAGTGTTTTCTGACTGAGAACTGCAGCTTTTATTTTGAATGTGTCATTACTACAGCTACTGTGAACTGCAACTCTAATGCCACTCATCCAGCAAATAAATCAGCAGACATGATAAGTGGACAGAGCAAGTAGCAAATAATCACGAATTTAGTAGAGTCACTTCGAAAGATGCTTTGCAACATTAAGTGTAATCCTCTCGTCCTGAAAATTAAAGCGTAGGAAATGTATTGATTGCATTGTGAAGCACTTAAAACATACGCAACTTGTCAACACGACAAGATCAATGAAATATTCAGGAAGCGTAATGACTGAGGATGAGGGGTATTGCTTAGCTAATTCCTGAAAACAGAAATAGAATCTATAAAATGCATTTTAGAATTCTTGGGGTCACATCCAGATGAACAGATATTATTGAAGATTTCTTTTGATTCATTTTCTCAGTTATTCCATATGGTACGGTGACGTGAGTCATAATGTTTTATCATTTGCAACTGAGTTAATTTGTCACTAAATGTTTTGAAAGATAATGCCATTTAGAATTTACTTGCTAAGTTGTGATCAACCAACTAACCTATCAATTTTGCCGGTTTATTGATGACATCTGGCCTTAAACAAGCACTCCACACACATAAACACTTCATCTTGTTTTGTGTGTCAGGATAAGTTCATTTTAATGGCAGTTTATAAAAGTGCCAAATTTTCTTTTAGGTAATAACTGCAGTAATACAGCCCTGGCTGTCAATCAGATTTCAGGCTCAGGTAGGTTAGGTACCCATCTCTGGAATGTTGTGCACTGCTACACACATGAAACGGCTCTAAATCCCTAGCGAGACTGTTACAGGGAAAAAAGTGAGGGCTTATAAAGGCTGCAGGTCAGCAAGCCCCAATTGAGTTTTCCATTAATCATAATCAAACTATTTTATATGTCATGTTTTAAAATGTATGTAAAAGAAGAAAGGAAAAGTGTAATCAATGGAGTACTTTATAAACTAGTCTACGGTCTGTTATTATTAGTATTTATATAGATCCAACATAATCCATAGCCTCAGACAATTACAGAAAGGAGTGAAGAAGGCCGTGTTCAGATAAGCTTACAAACCAATTACATAAAATAAATTTCAAATGTATTGGCTTTAATTTACCTCAGCAATACTTGTAGTGTTTGTAATGTCATCATCCCAGTTTTTGTTTTTTAAAGTGATATAGCTCACAGTAGTCAAATAATATGAGAGAGTCATTTACTTGCAGATATTATCATAAAGCATACAACATAATGAAATATGTGCAAATTAATTTACAATTCAAAACTTTTCGATAAAAAGTAAATAAAACATGTATCTGTTCTTGTTTTGTGTTTAACAGGAAGGATACGATATGAAAACAGTATCAAAGAAATGGTATTTACTGTTGAAAAAAAGAGGTTTGGTAAGAGGGAGGACAATCTACCACCTTGTTAGCTGAATACCAAGAGCTATAGTCAACGTCTGTTTTATTTTTGTGTGGGGTGTCTATGCCTAATGTGGAAATAGACCAAACGTTTTTTGTTTTGTTTATTTTCCTTGGTTGACATTATTTTTAGTTTCTAGTTGGTAGACATGTACTACCAGTCCATCGGCAAAAGGTAAGTAGATATGTTTGGGCAAGAACATACTTATTACATCAATTTTCAACCTATTAATGATATTGTAACAAAAACAAGCAAACATATAGACAACATCCAGTTAACTATTGTTTTGTATCAGAATTACAAAGAGAACAGGGCCAGTTTGAATTCAGCTGAAGAAAAAGTTTGTAATAGACAGAAAAAGGTAAAGAAAACATGATTTTAACCTGAAGGTAGGAAGGCGGAGATATCTGAATTAGCCTTCCAGTAAAAACCCAGAACTCGGTAAGAACTCTGGCTCTGGGTATATTGTATCCTTGGGGTATTACCATCATATTTTAATGCAAGAGATGTTTGGATCTCCTAGAAGAAGGCATATTTCCTCCTAAATCTTACTTTACTTCTATAGGAAAACCCCGCAGGAAGAGGGATTCCTCATTTACCTTCTGCTATAAAGTAATATAAAGTTATAAAGTACTATCTGGAGATTAGAGGATTTGCTCTTTTGCCATGTGAAAGGGAGAAACCTTATGATGGGACCTAAGACCTTGTTTTAATAATTTCAAAGTATTTATTCAGTTGAGCTACAAATGGCTTCTCAATAGTTTCCAAGTATATCTTGGGGACCAGACTTGTGCATTTGGTTTCAAACTGGGATTTGTTCACACCTTCCTTGTGAGTTGCTGAAGCACATCGTGGTAGGAAAGTACATAATTATAACCAATTTTAAAACATGGTTTTTTTTTTTAGAATTCTACATTAATGTCAAATGTTAGAGCAATATATAGGTGGAAAATGCGGTTCCCGGTCTGTCCCCAGCGGCACTTAGCCGCGATTCTATGGAACTGTTTTGGGCATAGGACCATGCATGCGGTCGGTCAAACTTTGATTTCCAGGAAATTCCTGAACCCTTGAACCGATCTGGGTGATTTTTGGGTATGTTGGTCACCCAGATCAGGGCTATCAGGGTATGTGACTTTTGAGGGGGTTTCATGTGTTTTACGGGTATTTTGGGAGTTTTGTAAAATGTGTGTTTTTGTGTCTGGAGATAATTGAGTTAATATAGTACTTGACTCAATTATCTCCCAGGTACAGAGGAGGGATTGACCTAGATTGTATGGGAGTGTCCTGGATCTGAGAGCCAATGTGATTGTGTATTTGTTTCTACTGTGGTTTACTCTCAGATCCAGGGGGAAGTGCCCCTTGCATGGGGACTGTCAAATAAGGCCAGTTGTGGTCCCATTAAAATCAGTTCCTGCTTACCCTCAACATAGAGTTTCATCTCATGTGTGGGGGAGAACGGCTGAATCACTCTGGGGATTTCCATATCACTATACTCCCCTGGTATTATAATCACTTGCTCTTTTAAGAGCATATTGCTACACTCTTGTGGAGGAGATGTCTACCCACTGGAAGCTGGATCCTGGTCTTGGGCCCAGGGTGGGTGGAGGACAGCGAGACCCCAACCAAGCTGTAACACTGGAAGTGGGGACTACAGTGCTGATGTCTGGTGCGGTGCTTGTGGTACTCGGTAAACACTAGGAAGCAGTGATTGGTGGGGACACCCAGTCAGGGTGCCAGGCGGTCCGCCACAACAAGCCAATTTATCCGAAAAACTATTTTGTTTTCGGCTTGGGATTTGTCCATGTTGCGTTTTGGGAACCAAAATTCTTACGAATCACGATTCAATTGAAGACGAAGACATATTTCTAAAAACGAAGTCCCATCACCATAGGGCTATTGAATGAAGTCATACCATCTGATTTTGATCTCTGTATACATAAACCTCATAGTTGTTCTTTTTGTTTTTACATAACACCCCACATTCTTATTGCATGAAGTAATAATTTCATTATATTAAATTGTTTACATAGTAATCTAGGTTAAAAAAAAGACTAAAGTCCACCAAGTTCAACATCTAAAACTTATTCCTTCATGCTGTTGATCCATAAGAAGGCAAAAAGGTCGTTAAATTAGTGAATCTTTAATCTTTCACGATTCTTTTCTTTAGGAATTGTACTGAAGGATTTAAGGAAGGCAGATGTGGCTCATATCTTCAAAAAGGGTTCAAACAGGGTTTTTTTTTCCTTTTTTGGGGGGGATCAAAAACAAATGTGAGGAAGGCTGAACTTGATGGACACAGGTCTCTTATCAGCCGATGTACCTATGTAACGATGTAACTATGTAACCTATAGAATTCCATATTTATTGTTCTTACTGTAAATAATTCTTTCCTGCCTTTCTTCCAGTCTCAATGTGTGACCTTTTGTCTGTTGTATATTCCTGCTAATGAACAATGTCAGGTTTGTACTGACCCTATATAAATTTGCACAGATATATCAAATCCCCTCCGATATGCTTTTTTTTTTCTAAAGAAAACAAACACAGATTTCGTTGTCTTTCTTCATAATTAATTATAAACTTGTCTCAGCACTTTTTCTTGTTTTACAGTATCATTATTTTAAATTGGTGACCAAAATTCAAGGTTTGGGTCTTTCCATAGATTTAGAAAAAGGCAAAATTAGTTTTGATCGCGCAAATCAACAACCCTTTTTATACAAGATAGCCACTTACTAGCTTTTGCAATGGCAGACCAGCATTGCATACTGTTGCCTAATTTGTTATCTATCATTGTTCCTAAGTCCTTTTCATTTGATGTTATCCCTAACTCTACCCAATTTAATGTATAAGTGGTTTGTGAGTTCCTTATCTGAAAAATGCATGACTTTACATCTATCTGTAATTACAACTATTCTTTGCGCTCTAACTTTATGCCAATATTCAATCAAAGAACATGATGTTTCACTAACTGATTTCAGGTTTAATGGTAACCTTTTGTGTGGAGCTATGTCAAATGCATTGGCAAAATCCAAATAGATCAAATCCACTGGAACACCCTGATCTATATGTACACTAATTTCTGCATAGAACGCAATAAGGTTATTTTGGCATGACATGTCTTTCATAAAACCATGATGACAATAATATCTGTGTTCAAAATTAATTCTTAAATATCAAGAGTTGGGCAACTATAGGCCAGTAAGCCTTACATCAGTAGTGGGGAAAGTGATGGAAACCATGTTAAAGTATAGGATTGATGAACATCTAAACACATGGCTTTCAAGATCAGAGACAACATGGGTTTACTTCAGGTAGATCATGGCAAACTAATCTAATTGATTTTTATTGACTGGGTAACTAAAATAATAGACCAGGGTGGTGCAGTAGACAGTGTCAAAAGCCTTACTGAAATTTAAGATTTTTACTCCTACATAGCCGAACTCATAACATTGGAGAATATTTTCAATTTGATTATTTTGACCTAAAATTAGAAAATCACTTTGAATTCGGGACACACTTTAGGGCTTAACCATGGAAGAATGTTACAAGCTTCTGATGTGGGATCATTCTAAATATAATACCTAAGAGGGTACAAGACTATGGCGGTCCACCAGTCAGCTCTTAAAAATAGCCTGGCAACCACAGCCATAGACCATCAACCTGGCAACCACAGCCATAGACCATCAGAACTTGTGAAACCTGTGCCTTCTCACTCCCCAAGCAAAATTATCTTTAGAGATGCAACTCCCTGAGCCGTGAGTTATTTAATTGTCAGATTTTTTTAAAATTCTGTCCATTACCCCTTTTTAACTGAACAAAGAAGGGTTTATTCACTTAACAGTGAATTGTGGGGGAACTGAATCTCACTCACACCAAGATATATCAAGTCATAAAGAAATCTCAGAGGAGACAAAACCCTTGCTTTTTGTTTAATATTTTTGTGTCAGTAAATTGTGAATAACTATTTAAAAACTAACCTTGAATTGTGGTGCTGGAAAAATATTTTGGATACCCGGGAGACTTTTTTCCAACTTAATTCTATTTTGAAAATTTCAACATATTGGTACACATCCATTGGGATAATTTTCTGAACTCCACATTTCAGGAAAAAACTCAAATTTATCTTCATTTAGAAAATAAATTCTACAAACCATTTACTAATGTTTCTAATGAGCTTCCTAAATGATCTAAGCTGGGGTCAAAAGAAGCCTGATTAGCCTTAATTAACCTTATGCTTAATTAGATGCAAACAATTTTCTGAATCAGTCCCGAAATAAATTGAAAATAGGAACTGATGTGTATATATACATAGCAATAATACATCTAAATAAAATGACCTTTTAGATTAGAACCTTGGAGGTAGGGGAACACACCGATTATCCCATACTGAGAGATAAAATGTTAGGGTTAATAAATTCACTGAGCTGGAAACTGCCCACCGTTCCATCGTTTTGGATAAAGGTGAAAAGAGTGAAAGAGGGATCTTTACATCCCCTCGGCTTTAAAACAAAAATGGGAAAGTGACTGCTCAGTATCCATTCAATGTAAAGACTGGAGGTTGGCCTATACTAAGCTAAAAAAATGTGTGCATTATCTTAATAACCGTATGTCACACGTAGAAACTTTATATAGCTGGTATATGGTTCCTACCAGATTATCCAAAATATCTCCTACAAATGCTTCTGTATGTTGGAGATGTCTACAACATGACGGAACTATTGGGACATATTTGGTGGAGATGTTCTAGGATTAACCAGTTTAGTCTTTGACACATCAGAGAACTAACAGGGGTAATAATGGATAATAAAATCTGAGATTGCCCTGTTACATTTTAATTGGCAGAAGAATTCCCCCAAAAAATTAATTACACACTGCTTCATGGCGGCAAAGGTAATAATTGCAAGATATTGGAAACAAACTCTTGTCCCATCCAAAGATCATCTCATAAACCAACTGATATTTCACTTGGAGATCGAGAAGGGCATACATTTGATCAACCCCTATATAAATCGCAAACAAATATCTATAATTAATTTGGTTAAGACTTTATAATTTAAGACCAGGTACTAGGCAAGTTCCATATTTGCATTTACCACACCATAATAAATGAGAATGGGTGGATGTGGCTCCATAGCCGTGATGTTGAATGTTGCTGGCTTTTTTTGTGTATGTAATGTCAATATGCTCAGTCCTCGTTTATATGACATCATTTCTACTAATGTGTATCACATTTCTATTTAGTTTTGTCTTTTTTTGTAAGTAAGAAAATAAGAAATTCTGTATAATAAAAATTATTATAAAAAAGAAAAAAAGCAGGGTCTTTAAATGGACACTCTGAACCTATAAACCACTTTAGTTTGCTGTAATGCTTTATTTGTGAAGAGTGTGTCTATTTTTTTAAATTTCACAAAAAGTGCCAATTTAAATTGAAATTGGTACTTTTATAAATTTACCTGGCTACACCCCCTGGCTGTCAATCAGACGAGGGCTCTACAGATTTGTATTCCTAACACTATAGATTCCTTATATTCCCTATTGTCGGGATCCCGCGGGCGGCTGCGAGGGGAGGCTGCACTCCGCTCGCGGTACTCACCCTCCAACCGTCCGCGGTCCCCTCCTCCTCGTGGGCTCGGCGAGTGGCATCCTTCCAGCCTTGGATGCCGCCCGCCATTTCCTACACGTCCCCCAGCGGCAGCATACATGATGCTGCACGCTGGGAGACCGCCCAAATTATTACACGCCGGGGTCAGTCACCTGACCCGGCGGTAAAGGCACAGTGCCTCAATCACAGTGGGAGGTTTAGATTTCTCCCACGTGTGATTGTTAATTCTGATTGGAAATTATCCAATCAGAATTAACCTTATGGTTTAAATACTTACCTTTCCTGTTCCTCCCTGCCCTGTTGTGGTCTTTGCTTGCTAGTATTGCTACTTACCTTGTGCTTCTGGTTACGTACTCTCTGGCTTGTTTATCTGACTCTGTGACTTTCTCCTACTATTTGACCTCGGCTCGTTTCATGTTATTCTGTCTTCTGGTTCCCCTTACTCGGCTTGTCTCCTGACTATTCTGTGTGTGCTTAGCCCGGCCACTCTAAGGTCCGGTACGGCACCTTTTCTGTGTGTGTGTGTGTGTGCCAGCGTGTTGGGTTCCCCCAATCGTGACACCTATATTCCCTATATTCACTATAGATTTACAGTATTTCAAAATATGGCTTTATTAGATCTATGCCAGGGAGAAAACTAAGATATTAACCTGTTAATCTATTAATCTGTAATGAATATTAGGACGTTCCTACACCCCGAAAAGTGTGCCTAACCAGATCCAGTTTCTAAACAGTCATGCAATATGCTGGATATGTTAACTTAAAAATTATTTTTATGCAGTCAGTATGAATGGCAATCTCTATTAAGCATACATTTAATGGATTGGAGATATGAGGAACCAAGAAAATGGGAATCCCTCTTACACTGTACCTGTGCGAGAAGAATTCAAAGGATTTCAAACTTTAAGGGACACTATAGCCACCAAAACTACTTTAGCTTAATGTAGCATTTTTGGTGTATAGATCATGCCCTTGCAGTCTCACTGCTCAATTATCTGCCATTTAGGAGATAAATCACTTTGTTTATATAGCCCCAGTCACACCTCCCTGCATGTGACTTGCACAGCCTTCCTAAAAACTTCCTGTGAAGTGAGATCTAATGTTTAACCTTCATTAATTGCACAGTATGTTTAATTTAGAATTAGTTATCTCCTGCACTGTTAATGGCCTTATAGACAATGCAATAGCCACCTGTGTGTTATTATTATTATTATTAATATTAATATTTATAAAGTGCCAACAAATTCTGCAGGGCTATACAACGGATAGACTAACAGACAAGTATTTATAACCAGATGAGTTGGATGCACAGAAACAGATGGGGTTGAGGGCCTGCTCAACCAAGCTTACATACTAGCGGGAGTTGGGTAAAGTGACATAAAAGGTAAGGATAGGGTAGAAAAAGAGGTTGCTAGAATAGTTTTCAATGAGGGCTTAGTTTTTTGGGTTTTTTTTATGACAAATTTGCAGGAGAGGCAGCAAAGTGCGGGGAGGGAAACCTATTAATAAGTTAACTGATATGCTTTCCTGAAGAAGTGAGTTTTCAAGAGTCTGGGTGAAAGTCATCCCTAGAGAAGGTGGGCGTCAGAGATGAGAGTACAAAAATAGGATTGACGCAAGTCTTCAACAGAGTGTAGGGGCCTGGACGTGACATACTTGTGTAATAGGGAGGATGGGTAGGAGCAGCATTATGTAGAGCTTTGTAAACAGTACCAGAATTTTAAATTGAGCCCTATATCTTGTAGAGACTGACAGAGGGGCATGGCGTAGGCGGTGCGGGTGGACAGGAAGATGAACCTTGCCACTGCTTTCATTATAGACTGTAATAGGGCCCGCAGGAAATGCGTAAGACCACTGAGAAGAGAATTGCAATAGTCAAGGCAAGAGAGGAGAGCGGCTTGGACCAGAACTATTCAATTTATAGTGTAGGCAGGGCCGGCGCTACCTGTAAGGCGGACTAGGCAGCCGCCTAGGGCGCCCCTTATGAAGGGGCGCCACCAGGAGCGCCGGCCCCCCTCATGCTGCAGCCGCCCGAGCGCTCTGTTGAGAGCCTCGGGCGGCTGCAGCTTTGCCCGGGCGGTGCGTCCATGAGGGCGGACCGCACCACCCGGGCGCAGCCTGAGGATGGGGGCTGACAGGAGGGAAGCGCTGCGCTCCCTCCTGTCAGCTCCCTCACTGTAGCGTGGCCGAGCCAAGTATAGTCGGCGGGTACAGGGAGCACACTGAGTGTGCACTTCCTGTTAGTCCGGCCGGGTACAGGAAACAACAGTTCCCTGTACCCGCGGACTATACAGGGCTCGGCCACGCTACAACACAGGTAGGGGAGGAGGGGGAAGAAAGAGGGAGGGAGAAGGAAACAGGGAGAGAGGGGGAAGAAAGAAACAGGGAGGGAGGGGGAAGAAAGAAACAGGGAGGGAGGGAGGGAGGGAGAAGGAAACAGGGAGGGAGGGAGAGGAAATGAGAGGAGGAGGGAGAAGGGAAACAGGGAGGGAGAAAGAAACAGGGAGGGGGAGAAAGAAACAGGGAGGGAGAAGAAAAGAAGCAGGGAGGAGGGGGGAGAAGGAAACAGGGAGGGAGGAGAGAAAGCAGGGAGGGGGAGAAAGGGAAACAGGGAGGAGGGAAAACTGACAGGGGAGGGAGAAAGAAACTGACAGGGAGGGTGGGAGAAAAGGAAGCTGACAGGGCAGGGGGAAAGAAACTGAAGAAGCATGGGAGGGGAAAAAAAAGCGACAGGGAGGGGTAGAAACTGACAGGGGAGGGGAGAAAAGAAACGGCAGGGAGGGAGAAAAGGCTTATTTGACAGGGAGGGAGAAAAAAGAGGAAGAAAAACTGGGAAAAAGCAGGGGGAGAAAAGAAACTGACAGGGGAGGGGGGGAGAAAGAAACTAACAGGGAGGGGGGGAAAGAAACTAACAGGGGGGGGAGAAACTAACAGGGTGGGGGGGAAGAAACTATCAGGGAGGTGGGGGGAAGAAACTAAGGGGGGAACTAACAGGGAGGGAGGAGACATTGACAGGGAGGGGAATTGACGGGGAGAGAGAAATTGACAGGGAGGGGGGAGAAGAGAGTGACAAGGGAGGAGGGAGAGATTGACATCCATCACACACACACAATCACACACAATGCACCCCTTACACACAAAGACAATGAACCCCTTGCACACAGAAAAACACACAATGCATTACACACACACACACGCAATGCAACCCTTACACACAATTCATCCCTTACACACACAGAAACACACAATGCATTCCTTACACATACTCAATGCACCCCTTAAACACACTCAAAGCACCCCTTACAGACTCACACACTTCATCCCTTACATACACAGAAACACACCTTGCAGCCCTTACACATACAAACACAGATTCACACAATACATTCCTTACACACAAATCAGGACATCCCATACACACTCCACCCCCTGTAAACAAACTCATTGGTGGAACATGAAGGTGGACCCTGGGACCCAGACCTTGAGCTGTGTAAAGGACCCCCAAAAAATGGAGCTGCTTCCCGTTCTCCCAGAACATTGATTTTTTGTGACCACAGTTACAAACAGCCTCCAGAGAGCCTGTTCTGCACCAGACCAGTGGAGCCAGACTGCAGCTAGAGCCCATCATCATCCTCATCTGGTTGTAAGTAGGCAATCTAGTATATTATTCGTAGCACTAAGCTCTAATTTACCTCACATTAAAGAAACACTATAGTCCCCAGAACCACTTCAGCTTAATGTAGTGGTTCTGGTGTCTATAGCCTGTCCCTGCAGGCCTTGTAAACACGGTAATGTAAACACGGCGGCACTGTAGCACTGGCGTTAGTTAACATGGCAAATTATATGGCTGGGGCATTGTGATGTCACGAGAGGGCAAACTTTACTTTTGCCTAGGGCGGCAAAAATCCTTGCACCGGCCCTGAGTGTAGGAGATAAAAAAGTTAACATGTGATTGAAAATGAAACCATTTTTTTCATGCATGCCGTGTGAGTCACAGCCACGGGAGGTGCGGCTAGGACTGCATAAATAGGAACAAAAGTTATTTAACTCCTAAATGGCAAAGAAGTGAACAGCAAGACTGCAGGGGCATGAGCTATACTCTAAACTGCTTCAATAAGCAAAAGTTGTTTTGATGCCTGTAGTGTCTCTTTAAGGCCAAAGTTGCCGAACTAGGAGAATTGTTCTATTTCAACTACTGTGAACATACATTTGAAATTCACTTTGAATTCTCACTTTAATGAATACTAATGTTCAGCTTTATATGAAATTTGACACTGAGAAAGCCACACAATTTAATTATCCACAACCCACCACATGTGTCATCACCTGCCACTAAGGATAGTGCCGGGAGTGTTTTTGTTTTTTTAGCCAATCACCTCCCATACACATGGATTGACGTTGCATTTTTTTATTAATTTCACGTGCAAATGGAATCCTATGCTTCTAACAGTGAATGTGAATTAAAATTGCAGTTTGAGGACTTTTTGCTTGAGAAATGTCCAAATTGTTATACTTTGAGCTCATACAGGGTATTCTACACCCAATGTGCTCCATATGGGATATTCCAACAAATTCTCTAATCTGGACAAGACACACAGATAGGATTTAGGGAATATATCAAGGGTTATGTGAATAGATACATAAAAAAATCTATTATAAAATGTTAATTTAATATTTTTTTCTATCAATGTATAAACCAATGAAAACAATAGACCTATTACTAAAAAGATAAAATATACAAAATCATTTTATTCCCTCACTCCCACGCCAGACAGGACTGTATGCTTTCTATAAAACAAACATACTTTGCCCATCCCTGTCTTATCTACAGTAACTGACAGCTAGAATTACCTTAAGGCATGATAGCTATGAAAAGGTGGAGCAATTTGAAGATAAACTAACTTCTCCAAGGTTTCAGCCCTATATACACACACACAGGTCAATGCACTATGGGACTGCAGTAAAAACATGTTTTATTTCTAATTTCCTTCCTTAACAGCCAGTAATGTGTGTTTGGCACACCAAAGACCAACTGAGGATAATGGGACTTGTAGTTCTGCAACAACTAAAGAAGGAACCCTTACTCTACGATGGATGGTCATTTGGCAACACGATTAAACTGATTTTTAAAAAATTAAATTAATATGATAAAATTAATACTATGTGTAGATTAAACGTACAAATAAAGAAGCAACAACAGTCAAAGATTTAAAAGGCTTTTTGGAAATTCCGAAATACAAATTACGGTAATCTTCTTGGCTTCTTCAACAGAGGAAACACAATGTAATAACTTGGTTTCTGTGTTCAAGGGTGATTGAAATAAATATTTTTATGTATATATCTTCTTGGGCTAAAGGCTCGCCAGGTTAATACACGTCTATATTAACCAAAAGTACTAATACGCAATCTGACGTTCTTTATGGTAGACAGCATAAGGGCCCTGAAGTAATTTAAACCATACCCATTGTATAGGTCAGGTGTAGGCAACCTTCGCACTCTGGATGTTGGAAACCACATCTCCCATGATGCTCTGCTAGCATTTTGGTTGTAAGAGCATTATTGAAGATACTGTCCACAACATCTGGAGTGCGAAAGTTGTCTACTGCTGGTATAGGTTTGGGCTAGTGTCAGTGTCCCGTTGCCCCTTCTACTGCATTTGAACATGCTTGACCAATACACATCGCACTGTCCCTGTTTCGTCTGTGACTATATTGCTTCTGTTATGTATGTACATAGACAAATCTTGGAAATTGAATTGGAAGCGATGTTAGTCTATCATTTCATTCTTAGAAGCATCTTAAAAAAAAACCTCCCACTTTTTTCTTTTTTCTAATATAAATAAGGGGTGTCATCTCGATGGGATATATACCGTAGTGGTTGTTTTCAGTTATATTTAGGATTCCTTTATTCTTATTGGATTTTTAACACATCATTGAAATAATTCAGATTTTAAAGCGCTGTAGTTGCTTTACCTTTGTTACTGAAATATGTTTACACCTGTTATTTCACAGAGATTTTTTTTTTTTAATCTGCATTTTTTCTTTATTTTTTTTGTTACTCTCGGGAAATAATCGAGGGGAGTGCCATAAATGTACACCCCTTTATTAATACATAGGCCAAATATAGTACTGGGTAAAATATGTATGTCTGTAGGGCTTCATTTTGCCCCAGGCATATCCCAACAACACCTTTGTGGTAACAACTTGAATGAGATTTTGGTATGTGGCAGGACATGCCCGATGTGACAGAATGTTTCCAAAAAAGAGAGGATTTACCTAACAATGGGCAGTGCTACCACTAACCCACTCCCATTTCTTATCTCACATAAAGTCTAACTAAACCGGCCAGTGTTTACTTTACCTAATGGACATTACAAGCCCAGGAAACAATCTAAAATTGATACAAAATGGCAAGACAGCCACAAACATTCTCCCAACATCTCCGCAATTACCATTGTTGCATTAAACAAAAAATAACCTATCATTTCCAAACAGCAGCATTTGTTTAATTGCAGCACCCCGTGTAGCTCACAGTGTCTTGCTTACTGTGTAACCATCACTATCAGATTAAATTCACATATCAATAATTTGCTTCATGGGAGCACATTGCAAGTACCAGACCATATCACTGATGGGAAGGCGTGAGCAGTGGTATAAAAAAAAAAAAAAATTACAAAAAGATAAAAAAAAAAAAAAGGACATTTATATATAAAAATATGAGTCAAATATGTCTGGGCAAAATGAATTAAATATATATTAAAAAACATACAGTTTATGATCAGATAAAGGGTAACAGAATGCAATGGTCAGTGTAATGATACAATATTGACATCTATGAACATCCCAGTATCCTTTAACTATCTGAGTGCCATCACCTCTCAGTCCTGTGGAATGACCAGATATAAAGTAGCACTTACTGTGATAGAATTGTTGAATGAGGCAGATTGTGAAGAAGCATGCACGTTTCCATGGTATTAGATTCTTCATGGGAATAGAGGATTCCAGTCATACATCTCAGGTTTCCAGAGACCTGCTCCTGTCATATGTCATGATGATGGGGAATTTGAATCCTTGTCCATGGCTGGGCAATAGACAGATCCCAATAGCCAGCAGTGTGGACAGCCTTGTCATGCAGACAGAGCACTTAGTGCACACACTGCATTCACACTACCTGTGCCTTGCAGCTTTTTATATTTGCATCTGATGGGCTTGTTAGACAGAGGCTCTGGTTTAACCAGTTTTCACAGGGCACATCCCTTTTAAAGGAAACACAAGCCCACAGAGCAAAAAGCACCAGAGCTGTTTACAGCACATGCTCTCATATTGATTAATGGTTTTATTGGCTGAAGCACAAATAAGTACAAAGAAAACCTACAATCAGTTGGATACATGCCAGCAAGAAATGCTTAATGGCCTCTTGCTGAGGCAGTGTAAATCCATTTACAGGAGAAATGTACCTTGCCCCATGGCCCCCTGCTGTTCACTCAGCATAGGGAATGTGATGACATCATTTAGGCAAATTTTTTAATATTAATTAAAATCTGGAAAAAAAAAAGCTTTTTTTTTTGTTCCCTTTACAATGTGTAGACATTAAAAATTAGCATCGTTATTCAAATGCTGTAACAGTGGCGTCTTCAAACAAACTATACTATAGGTCACAGACATCTGTACAGCGCTAAGCACACTGTTGCACCATAAGTGCAATGATGCTGGGTACAGCAATGTGGCATGTGCAGTAGATTTAGGTGTTGTTAGGAGCTAGTGTAGCTTTGGAGGGGGGGAGGAGGGTCTTAAGGCTAGTGGGTGCCTGCCTTTAAGATGCTGTGCTACTCCCATCACTCTAGGGCAGGTACCTCTAACACTAAGTATTTTGTACCATTAGTTCCCTAACCCTAAGTCCCCACTAACCCAAAACACTCTTATTTCTAAGTCTCCAACTGTGAATAACCTTCACCTCCACCTTATATCTACCTACACCATTGGGAACTGGACCTTTATTAACATTAAACTATACCTATTCAGTGATAGAGGGCACAAAAAAATAACATTAAACTAAAAATGGAGGGAGACCCACAATCACAGGGATACTTTCGATACCAAGACTGATTTAGCCTTAATCAATATATTGATCATGCCCCTGCTCACTGCTGAATGTTACATAATTTAGGAGTTAAATAATTTTGTTTATGCATCCCTAGTCACACCTCCCTGCATCTGACTTGCACAGCCTTCCAAAACACTTCCAGCATTGAGAGATCTACTGTTTACTGCACATTTGTGGTGGAATCTCGGTAAAAATAAATTTAGTAGGCCGAGATTACCACGTGGCATGTGTACGTGCATATGCTGACGTATCGATCAGTTGGTTGCACGAGGCAAGATACGATCAGTAGTGTACGGAGCATGTGCAAGAATACAGGATGTAGTATTCCCCTCCTCCATTGTGCTGGACAAGCCATGCGGTCAAGCAGGAAGTTAATTCTTATTTGTAATGATTGGTCAAGAGAATGTGCGGGTGGAGTTTAATATGGGAGGAGTTATGTGCCTATATAGGGAGCCTGCACTATTGTTCAGGGCTCAGAACTTGATGTATTTTTGGTGACATTAGTCCCTCTGAGTCCCGATCGGTGATCCAATAAAGAATCTCTTCCTTCCTGAAGAAACCTGTGTCCATCCCTCTGTGCTTTGCTTCCGTCAGTTTCTCCGGTATCATTTGGTGCATTGGCCGGGAAGCTCATCGTTCAACGGTAGCTGAGAGGCAGAGGCGTGAGACGGTCTATCTTTGCCCACGTTCTCTACGGCTGCACCCCTGAACTTCTGCGTGGACCTCCCTTCGTCTCGGCGCCACTGGTCTGTTGTCCAGGAGATCATCGGCCTCTACGTAAGAAGTGCTGGGGTGTCCCCGTCGATGAGTGTGAACTCAGGTTCAGGAACGAGGAGGTAAGACAACTGCTGTTTTAGACGGCAGACCCACTAGGGGTATACCGATTGTGCGGTAGGCCCAAAAGGGGTTTAAATCTGTGTATGGAATCTGCCCCCTCTGTCGGAGGGAAGGAGCGAAGGCGCACCGCTCGATCGAACGCTCTTTAGTAAGACCGTTTGATCTGGTTAGTCAGGCGGGGTCCTGTGTAAATAGCCCTAGCCGGACACCGGTGTCTTGTCTAGACTAGCGTTCTAGGGTGTATATTACGTTCGCTAGGTCGGAGGGACCGGGAGACTAAGCGGCGCCTGTGTAAATTCGGTTCGCTAGCTCTCAACCTATCTTGGCTAAGTGGGAAGGCGTGTAAATTTGGAACCCACTAGACTTTTGATAGAGTAAATAGACTAGAAGGGCAATTTTGTAAATTTCGCCCTCTAGTTCGCTATATGTGGTGTTTGGGCAGTGTGGCTAACCAAAACGGGTGTATATAGTTTTAGGTAGTCCATTCAAGGTACTGGCCAATAGTTTAGTTGGGATTGTAAATGTGTTAAAGATTGTTAGTAAAGTGTATATCTTGTTAGATAGCGCGAGCTCAGCCGTCTAGCGAGAGTGTTAATAGTGTGTTGCTGTATCATAGTGCACGGTACCATAACCCTGTATATTTACTGACACTGTATATAAGTACTAATCATTGTCGTCTATTGCATGTTTAACACCGTAACCACTAATAATTGTATTGTGACCTTAAATTGTGCTTTGACCTATGCTAACCGTACTGTAACCGATACTAGTAAAAGACGATGTTACTGGGGTGTGTTATAGACGGGTAATTCATATATAGAGAATTATAGCGTGGGTGACTGTATAGTTTCGCCAAAGGGCATAATATTGATTATTTAGTGACTGGTGTAACAGCTGTGTGTGTACGGGAATTCCCTGAGTGATTATTGTGTTATTGTGTACGTTTCACTCGGTAACTGTACCACGTGGTGCTGTTGCCAGAGGAAACGGGTGTGACTGTTGAATAAGAACGCGTGCATAGTATTCGTTGTCAACGACGTTCCATTGATAAGTATGGGCGCGTCAGAGTCAACGATTTCGGATCCCTTAGGTTGTATGGTAAAGAATTTTAAAAAGGGATTCAAAACATGTGATTTTGGGGTTAAAATGTCTCCTGTACGTTTGGTCACTTTGTGCACTAGGGAGTGGCCTATTTTGGTTGCGGCATGGCCGCCGCGTGGCAGTTTGGATCCAACCCTGGTACAGCGTGTACACGTGGCTGTGTCAGGTAGGCCTGAACTTTACGGACAGTTTCCATACATTGATTGTTGGGGGCAGGCCGTAAACGACTCGCCAAAATGGATCCGGATATGCCACGAGGAGCAATGTCGCCTCATGGTGGCCAGGACTTGTTTGTCCACTAGGACTGGTGTTAGGCCCATTTTGGACACGCCCCCTGAGTCCGAGATCCCTTTGCCGCCTCCTTACTTTCCTTTAAGAGGAAGTGACGCGAATGCAGGAAGCTCTGCACCCCTTCCCCTATTGCCCCCATCCACTTCCGCTTCCTCCTCCAGTACAGAATCCACCCCCCCTCGTATTAAAACTCCCCTTCCGGAACCAGGACCAACCCCCATTAGATTTGAATATCCTGATTTGGCGCCACTTCAAACTTCCGGTCAAGCTTCTTCTAGCTCGGCTCGGAGTATACTATTCACTAACTTTTCCCAAAATCAAGTTCCCACATCCTCATGCCCTATTACCTCTCGACCGGAACCTTTAACTGACGCCCCTCCACGTAGCCCCATACTAACCCGACAACTGACCGGTACCCAACAATTAAAACATTATCAGATGCCTCTTCGTCTGAATCCTGGGTCAGCCTATATCGATGCCGCAGGTCAAATGGCACATGCTGACCCAGTTTTCGTATATGTCCCGTTCACGACTACCGATCTCTTGAATTGGAAGACCCACAATTCCTCGTACACTGAGAAACCACAAGCTATGACCGATCTGTTCACCTCGATAGTTCAGACACATAACCCGACATGGGCTGATTGCCAGCAGTTATTAATGACATTGTTCAATAATGAGGAAAGGACAAGGATTAACCAAGCGGCCATTAAGGCGCTAGAGGAGAGAGCCCGTGCTTTAAATCAAGCCAATCCGGCAGCATGGGCCGCAACACATTACCCTAACACCGATCCTGACTGGAATGTAAATGGCGCAGATATGGCTCAACTTAAAGCCTATAGAGATGCTATAATTGCTGGCATGAAAGCCGGAGGGAAGAAAGCTATTAACATGTCGAAGACAGTTGAGGTGATTCAGAAAAGTGATGAAGCGCCCAGTGTCTTTTATGACCGATTATTGGAGGCATACCGCTTGTATACCCCCTTTAATCCGGAAGACGCTGATAATTCCCGAATGGTAAACTCCGCCTTTGTCAGCCAAGCTTACGGAGATATTAAGCGCAAGCTACAGAAATTAGAAGGGTTTGCAGGTATGTCTATCACTCAACTAATGGAGGTAGCGAACAAAGTATATATGAATAGGGAAACAGAAAGTAAGAAAGAGGAAGAGCGCAAGATGCGTAGAAAGGCAGATATGCTAGCGGTAGCGATCGCAGGCGTAGATAGACGGGGCCCAGATAGAGGCGATGGTAGATGGAATAGGGAGCCTTTGAGTAGGAATCAGTGCGCGTACTGTAAGGAAGAAGGGCATTGGAGGAACGAGTGTCCGCAAAGAGAGCAGTATGAGAGAGACTTACCCAGGGCAGGTTACGGAAACTTTAGAGGCAGAGCGAGAGGTAGAGGAGGCCCCGGAGGGAGTAATGGTAATAGAGGGAGTAATGGGAACAGAGGAAGTGTAAGGGAAGATAGGTACTATCCAGCAGCGCAAAGGTCCCGCGATAGAGAAGGTAGGGACTTTGTGGGATTGGCTGACACGGTCATGGAGGACTATTGATACCGACCGGGCTCCATCCCCCTTGGTCGAGCGGAGCCTATGGTCGATGTATCAATAGGGGGAAAAAGGAGTGCGTTTATGATCGACACTGGTGCTGAACATTCGGTGGTGACTAATCAAGTTGCTCCTCCATCTGGAAGAACTATTACTGTAATAGGAGCAACTGGAAGAAGTGCTGAAAAACCGGTTCTTAAAAGTCGACTCTGTACATTGGGAGGCCACGTAGTAAAACATCAATTCCTTTATATGCCTGAGTGTCCAGTCCAATTGCTGGGGCGTGATATGCTATCCAAATTACAAGCGCAGATTACGTTCCTACCAAATGGAACAACATCCTTAAAGTTTAATGGACCCTCAG